CAAAGCATAATGGCGAAGCTAAAAGATAGGGTAAAGCTTAAATTGCACGAAGGCGCCTGGAGCGCGGAGGACTTAAAGGACCGACCCCGGGTGCCCGAAGGGGCACGAGGGAGGGGGAGGTTAGAGAAGGAACAATTTTTGTTGGCGATAGCACCTTTGGTAGGAGATTTACGGAGGCCTGACAAAGGAGACACCGCATCCGGCCCGTGACCCGGTGACCACCCGCCTCTGCACCGATTGACCCTTGACAGGTAAGTGCAAGGTAAGTGCAGGGTAGCACTTTACATAACTTATTAATTTTAACACTCCTTTTTTTTTGCTGCTTCCGTACAAGTTAAAGGAAATTTAATTACAAAAGGAATCGGGAAAAGTATATAAGTAAATTAAAGGAATAGTTTTTGTTTTTGGTGCGTTAACTTGCACCGCTATAAACTTTTAACATAAAGGTAAAAAGTTTTAAGCTTTAAGTTATAAATTTACAAGCTTTAAAAAAACCTTATGTTTAAAAGGAATTAACGGCTTTGTTAAGCCATTAACAAGCATATTTTTAATATTTACATACTTTATCGTAATTGTGCTAGCAGTAACCTTTTCCTTTACAATATAAAACTTTAGCAACGTATGCTTAGTTTGAAAATGCAAGGTAAGGTTGTATGCATTGCCAATAAAACTTATGTTATTACTGAAAATAGCTATAAAACCTTTTACAAAGCATTGTAACTTTGTAAATAAGTACTTTAACCACTTTACCTTTTAAAAGGTTTTTGCTAAACCGTTGGTTTTTGCTTTAACAATGTTATAAGCTATAATGCTAGCTTTTTTACATTTTTAATTAATAAAATTTCCGGTTAGGGTAAAAATAAACCCATTAATCGATTTTAAAGTATTTTTATCCCTAGCAAAATCGCTATCGCTAAAACTAGTTAATGTTAATAAATTTCCTGCTATTTTGGCTTTTACAAGGTTTATTAACATTAGCCCCTTTAATTTACCATATTGGATGGTTAGGTTTTGGGTGTTACTTAAATATTTTAATAAATTTTTTGCGGCGTTAATGTAAGTGTTGGTAAGCTTTGTTAAGTGGCGTAAAATTTATTAAACAGCAAAACCGATATTTGGGCGGGTTAACAGCATTAAGTACATAACGGTTCCTATAATCCTTTGTAAAAATTTAACTTTAATTAAAGTTACAAGGAATCCGCCAATATCATTTAGCATACCCGGTTGTAAAGGGATACCAACAGTTCGAAAATTTTGCAAACCGAAAGTAACAAGCATTTTTTCGATATATTGGTTTTAATGGATGCAAAAAAGCCGTTTAAGCCTATCCTTTTCGATTTAAACGCTTAAAAAATAGCTTGCAAACCCGCGGTTTTTTAACGCATACACTTTATGTAAGCTTTATTTAAAGGTGCTAATATACTTAATATTAAACCCGATAATTAAACAATCGTTTACAAAAGTAATTATAAAGTGTTTTAATTTAGCATTAAAATAAACCGCTGGATTAAAAATAAAAGCAAAAAACCCTTTATCGTTAAAAAGTTTTTTTTAGCTTATTTTGCCATTTACAAAGCCTTTGTTTCAAACCGTACAATGCTTTTTGTAACAAAATTACTTAATTTTTAGCAAGGTTATAACCAAATTGCTTAGCTATCTTTTTTATTTTAGCTAATGCTAAAGCTACCCATATACTAAACCCTTTTAACATAGTAAAGTAAATTTTTACGTCGAAATTACTATTTAAAAACGCTTTAATAAAATCGATTTGTTTAATTTCCCAATTTTTTATTGCAGCAAAAGCTAAAAATATACGCTACGTAAACGGTATACTAGTAAAAGCAAAGGTTTTTACAAAATCCAAGCCTTTTACTTGCATAAAACCTTTAGCGACCAACCTAGCTTTGTATTTTACAAAAGTGTTATTTTTGTCCTTTTTAAGCTTAAAAACCGGTCGACAAATAATTAATCTTTTCCTTTTAAATACGTTAGCTTTAAGTAAAAACCTAAAAGTTTTTGCACGTAAAAGCTGCTCGAATTTTGCACTTAAAGCAGCTAACCAGTTTTCGTTATAAGGGCTTTTTAAAGCTTTTTTATAAAAACTTGGCTTGCCATTTTTAATAAGCTTTTTTTTTACTGCCTGCTTTGCCCTATAGCAAATGTATTGAACGTATTAATTAATATCCATTAATTTGGATTTAAAAATTGCTTTTTTAAATCCATAAGCATTTTATCCATTGGGGGTACCGGTATTTTAAGCGTTAGTAACGCTACAATGCTACTGGGGCCTTTTAGCGGCTTTACAATAACCTGTACAAGCTTTGGGAGCCTGTTTTGCAAGGTAGGTATTGGAGCTTTTAAAGGCTCCGTAAGCTGTGGAACTAGCAAAAAATCGTTTTCCACTTCGCTTTTAAAGTTATTGGGAACGCTATTAATTAGCAAATTAGCGTTACTTTTAGTAAGTTGTACCGGTAATACCCCTTTTAAAGGTTTTTCCCCTTTGGAACCAATTTTTTTATTAATATTCCTTTTAATAGCTTAATTGTAAAGGTTTTACATACAACCTTACGTGCAAATGCATATACGAGTACAATAATTTTATTTAAAGCTTTTAAAAGCTTAACGGACTTTGTTTTAATTGCTAGCTTTTTCGATTTAGCCTTTTGTTCCATAAAAACCATAGCTTCCGCTTGGGTATTTATAACTTTATAATGGCTAACGTTAAGCTTATAAAAAAATCCGGGTTTTATTTCGTCGTAAAACTTTTGATACGGGCTTAGCTCCTTATTAGTAACCGCCGTAGCGTTTATTAATTTAATTATAACTGGTAAAATATAATATTACAAATAAAACGGTAAGCTTGCCGCATTAATTATAGCCTTTAATTTATCCATAATTACCTTTACCGTACGTTTGGATAGCCCATTTTAGCCGAGGTTGTAAAGGTTTAACGTATTAAATGCTATGCCTTTGCGTTTAAACCATTGCTTTAGCGCCGTATTAACCTTTATACCCCCATTAAAAAACAATTTATTAAAGTATTGCCCGTAGCTTGCTTTTAACTTTTTAAAAAAGGCTTTTATAGCAGCGTACATTACATGGCCATGCTTGTTAAGCAATTAAAAATCCATTTATACCTTAATTTACGATTTACAAGCATAAAAATTACGGGTTTTTTATTATATATTATAAGGGATAAAGTAATTATATCCCCTTTTATCGAATTTAAAACGTTATTCGGTAAGGGTAACGGGCCCTTTTTGGTTTTTTACACCGCTATGGTTTTGGCGCATATTACGCATTGCAACCTTTTAACTTTATCGAAGTTAAAAAAACCAGTAATAATTTTAGCAGTTTTTTTTTAGCAAAGTTAAGCTAATATGCTTTAATTTGCGGTGCCAAAGCAGCGCTTTTAAAGCCAAATCTTTACCACACCCTTTTATTATATCCCTTTTTAAGCTTACCCAGCCGTTAGTTAACTTTTGGAGGCTTTTTGGGGTTATATTAATAAAAGGGGCCGCTTGTACCTTACTTACAGGAAAAGGCTCAGGCAACGGATTTTTTGCTTAAAAAGCCCCTTTTTTAATAAAGTAATGTCCTTTGGAATAAGCTTTTTAATGGACTTGTTTAATGGCTTGCCGAGTTTACGGGGCTTAATTACACGGAAGTTTTTAGGGCTTTTTGCATTAAATTTAGGCTTTTTACCCTTTTTACGGGGCTTTTGGCTATCCAAATCCATATTTTTTTAAAATCGGAATTATAACGTTAATATTCCTCCTGGTTTTTAAAAAAGATATTAAGTAAATTAACCGTTAGCTTTAAGGTTACCTTTGCTGCGGTTTTATTAATACTATAGCTATAATGGGAATAACGGATATTAAGCAACTTATGCCCTTTTACGTTAAGGAAAACCCCATTTTTTGTAAAATCCAAAACACTTTAGCACTTACGATTCGAATTATATAAGCTTTGTTTAATAAAAACGCCGTTTAAAGAATAGTGTTAGAAACCGTTAATAATATTAATATCGAATTCAGGAATAAATAACCTTTTTTTTAACGTTATTTGTTCGAAACTATTAGCGTTATTTAAACGTTTTATTGTAAGCTAAACAATGCCAACGCCTTTGGGGATTACAGGGCCGCCACTTATTTTTATTACTATATTACTGCGCTTAATAAATGTAATAAAGTACATTTTAAAGTTAAAAATGTAATTAATGCTACTTGTATCGTATAGTACAAAGGGTTTTAACGTTTTAGCTTTCCTTTTAGCATGTTTATAACTTGCGCACTTTTTAACCAGTAAATTTTAAGGAATTAATTTTTCGGTATCAAATTCGCTAGTAACGGAATTTTTACTAAAGTTATTTAAATAATTCGTATCCACAGTACCGCTAATAGCGTTACCTTTTAATGCAGCCTTTAAAAAAAGGTTGTAATTTAAGGATATAAATGTTATCCCGTTTTTATTAATGGATTTATTACTATTTTTACTTTTTTTACCGGATTTATTAAATCCAAAGGAAGCTTTAAACCCTTTTTGCTTTTTTTTAAGCTTTTGGTTTTTCCCGTTAGCGGCTTTTTTTTCCTTTTTGCCTTTGCTTTTAGCATTAATTCTTTTAGTATTTTTGCCTTTTTTAGCTTTAGCTTTATAATTTGCAGCTTGTTTGTATGCTATAAATATTGGGTTATAAGTTTTAGCTATTAAATTAACCATTAAATACTATAAGTTAAGGCTTTCGATTGGCTGCTTTAAAGCAATAGCGCTACAAATAATGCTTCGAAGTCGTTTAGCCCAGTAAGGAAAGGAGCTTTCCATAGCCTTTAAATATTAATTTTTAATGTTAGTAGCTTTAAGGAACACGTAATTATTACGGAGCCTAATTAGCAAAGCGTTAAAGTAAAAATTAAATTTGCTAATACTGCCTTTAAACTTAGCGTAATTTAATAAATGGAATTCCTTGTAAAAGGCATCCCTTTCAATTTTAAATGCAAAAAAATAGCTTTCCTTTAAGGCAATAAAAGTTAAGCCAGGCTTTGTTTCCCAAATTACAATATTTAAAACCTTTTTGTTGTAGCTATCCTTTAAAAAAAGCAATAAATTTGCTTAATTTTTTTTAAAATTTTATCCGCTAGTTCGGGGTTATTTATAAAACCCTTAACCCTTATTGCAATAAATTAAAAATTTAGCGTATATTTCCACTTTGCGTAATTGCTAAACCCTTTAAGCTTAAACGTTTTAAGGAAAAAGTGCACCTTACGAAACAGTTCCTTTATTACTGGATTTGTGTAAAACAAAATATTATTCCAATTGGTAAGGGTTGGTGGAAGTTGTACTATTAAAGTTGGCTTAAAGGGATTATTACCGTAATTTACTAGCGTAATTGGGCTTTGCAAATTAATTAAAGGTTTTCTAACAATAAGTGCTTTAATTGCTTAACCATTAGCTGGAGTAAATGTAACCCCCAAAGCTTTTATTTATTCCTTTTAAGCACTTTGCTTTAACGTTGTTACTTTATTAAATAATTGTAATATTAAATCCTTTTGGTGCTTTAGCGTTGCCATTAATTGTTCCAGCACATTTTGCATGTTTGCGTTTCCCCCCAACGTAACCCCCGAATCGCTAAAATTATTATCCATTTTTTTTATTTATACTTATAAATTTGCCAATTTATAAAGGTTTATATAAAAGTAACGAATTTTTATATCGGAATTTAACAATTTTTACAAATTAACTTTGGGTAACCAGCCTTTAGTTTTACCTTTAATACCAACCTTTTCGTGCATTAATAAAAACCCCGTAATGCAGTTATTTAGCGTTTTTACAAATACTAAATACTAACATTAATTTGGCCGGCAAGCATTTAAACGCTATCCCGCTTTTTTAACGGTCGTTTAGTAAGCTTTTTTAAATACGTTACAAACTGCTTTAACCGAAATGTATTTTTTATTAAACTGCATAACAATTTGCGCAATAGTACCCGGTTTAAATTAAAGTATTTTGTAATTAATATCCATTAAAATAATAAGTAAATTTTAGCAATGCAAACCCTTTTTTCCAAGCTATAAAGCAACGGTTTGCAAGTTTTTACAAAGGAATTAAACATTACAAAGTAATGCAAACCCTTCCTTTTGCTTGCAACGCGGGTTTTTACAAAGGAACTAAACATTATAAAATAATGCAAACCTTTCCTTTTACCTGCAACGCGCTTGCTTATAAGCTTTTCCACAAAGGAATTAAACATTTTTATCCTTTAGCAAATTATTTATAAGGTTCCCAAACAGCGTATTTATAAAGCGCTCGCTTAGCGCATTAATAACCTTTAAAGTGCTATCTTAATAAGGTCGCACAGCGTATTTATAAAGCGCTCGCTTAACGCCGCAATTTGTAGTATTAGCGCTCCATAGCGCTTATTAACAAGCCCAAAAAGCTGCTAGCAATTAAGCTTAATTGGTAACTTACAGCGCTTTCGATTGCTGTGGTTAATTAATTAATTTGGGGGCTTACAACGCTTTCGGTCGCTGTGCTTAATTAATTAATTGGGTTTCGATAAGCTTTCGATCGCTTAAAACCACTGGTTTTCCCGGGTTTATAACCTGTTAAATTACAAGGTCCAAATTGGGGCTTTGCAGCACGATTATAGCAATTTATAAAATTACGTTTACAAAGGTTAGGTTTGTTAAGCATTATAATATAATGCTAACAAGCCCACGTGGGTTGTTAAAAATAAGTGCTATTCTAGGGAAAGGGTGCTAATTTAATGCCTTTTTTTATATACCCACTAACGTTAATTTTAAAGGTTTTCCTTTTTAAAGGGTTGCGGTGCCGCGCGCGATTTTCCGCAATATTATTTTGTATGGGGATTGCAAAAAATCGACCCACGGCCACCAAAACGATTTCCGCGTTCGGCTTCCAGATTTGACTTGTGTTAATTAACGTGGGGAAGTGCAGGGTAAGTGCAGGGTAGGTGCAGGGTAGCACCTTACATAACTTATCAATTTCAACACTTTTGTTTTCCGTTTTGTAGTGGGTATTTTTGCTATGGTTGTATGGGTTAAAATGGCTGTGGTAAAATTGTGCTTTTACGATTTTTCGTAAAGGTATATTACCGTTCCAGTTAAGTATAAAACGACGTGGCTCGTAAATTTAAGCGGAAAGGTAATTTTGTTTTACTTAATGCTTTTGTAAAAATTATTGGGGAATTTGTTTTTTAGCTTGCTTGCGTTTTAAACTGTGCTTTCGGTAATCGTTCGTTTTTTATCGCCTTTTGCGTTGGGTTAATTGGTTAAAAAAACGTTCTGGGCGGTGGTTGCTGGGGAAGTATAAACTTTGGAAATGGCAATTTTATAA